ACCGTTACAGTTCTGAATAATTTCGGTCACACTAACACTATTATTGGTGTGATTATGTGACATAATAATAAAGAAACGGTATGTTAACTACTATTACAGTTCTGAATAATTTCGGTCACTCTAACACTATTATTGGTGTGATTATGTGACATAATAATAAAAAACGGTATGTTAACTACTATTACAGTTCTGAATAACTTCGGTCACACTAACACTATTATTGGTGTTATTATGTGACATAATAACCAAAGAAACGGTATGTTAACTACTATTACAGTTCTGAATAACTTCGGTCACACTAACACTATTATTGGTGTGATTATGTGACATAATAACAAAGAAACGGTATGTTAACTACTGTTACAGTTCTGAAGAACTTCGGTCACACTAACACTATTATTGGTGTGATATGTGACATAGTAATAAAGAAACGGTATGCTAACTACTGTTACAGTTCTGAAGAACTTCGGTCACACTAACACTATTATTGGTGTGATTATGTGACATAATAATAAAGAAACGGTATGTTAACTACTGTTACAGTTCTGAATAACTTCGGTCACACTAACACTATTATTGGTGTGATATGTGACATAGTAATAAAGAAACGGTATGTTAACTACTGTTACAGTTCTGAAGAACTTTGGTCACACTAACACTATTATTGGTGTGATATGTGTCATAATAACTTCATTACTGTTCTCTGTGTGTTAACATTAGCACTTTGAGTGTGTGGAACTTAAGCTCAGGTTAATCGGTAAGACTGGTAATGATGGGAGGACTATCTGTACAATTCCTTCCCGCCAGTTAGTATGGTTATGTAAACAATTCCTTCCCGCTAGTTAGTGTGACTATGTAGACAATTCCTTCCCGCCAGTTAGTGTGACCATGTGAACAATTCCTTCCTGCTCGTTAGTTGTGACTATGTAGACAATTCCTTCCCGCCAGTTAGTGTGACCATGTGAACAATTCCTTCCTGCTCGTTAGTGTGACGATGTGAACAATTCCTTCCCGCTCGTTAGTGTGACGATGTGAACAATTCCTTCCCGCCAGTTAGTGTGACCATGTGGAAAATTCCTTGCCGCTCATTAGTGTGACCATGTGGACAATTCCTTCCCGCTCATTAGTGTGACTGTGTGGACAATTCCTTCCCGCCAGTTAGAGTGACCATGTGGACAATTCCTTCCCGCTCATTAGTGTGACTGTGTGGACAATTCCTTCCCGCCAGTTAGAGTGACCATGTGGACAATTCCTTCCCGCTCAT